ATATTTATTATATCATTTCAATTTCTTACAATTTTATATTTTTCTATAATAAATATATGATAAATGCCACAGAGTTGGAATTAGAACTCAGACAGTGTGGCTGTAGAGTCAGTGGCTTTGGGTTCTGAGTAAAATGTTAGTAGGATAATAGACTAGGGAGATAAAACTCAAAATTAGACATCTTTCAGACCTAGAACCTCCCTACCACCTCTGATCTCTCAGGAAGAAGCTGAGGTAAAAAGCTGCCTCTTACCTTCTCCTTTCTAGTCTGCACTGCATACCCACCTGACATAGCTTCAACTTGTGTACTTTTCTAAAGTGTAATATCACGGGACATAGAAACTTACCTTCAAGCTTAGCCTTGTCACTCACTAACCATGTGAACCAGTAAAATGATTTTCAGGTTCATAGAACTCCCCCCTCATCTTTATAAATTACACTCATATTGTATAATATCCTTCTAAGTGCTAACTAAGAGTTCAGATTTGGAGATCTTTTGATGTTACTAACTACTTTCTTGGATGATTGGGAATGCTCTTTCTCTGTTCTCTTCAAGACAAGGTGAAGCTGAGGGAATCAAGTCTATCCTTTAACAAATCTATCCCAAATCTACCCATTCTCTTTGGACAAGCTCTGCTCTTTCCCACAGATTTTCAAGGGTAAGTTGTCATTCAGCTTTGTGAATGGCAGACAGATCCATTTGGTGTGTGTTGCAGGTAAGGGTGGCCTTACTAACAGGGGCAGATGGAAGTTAACTGTGGACTTTGAAATCAAGGGGAGGATAGCTCAATCCATTCTTGAAGAGTGATAAAAGAATCCCTTGTAAAGGTGGAGAGCTCTTCACAGTCACACCAGGGTTGTTAGGTCAGCTTTTTTTCCTGTGTCTTGCTTTGGGCTCAGTATACTATATTATGCTATGGCTTTTATTTTCCAGATAATGGAAAGCATGAGGAGGTCCTTGGATGAGAATGGCACATGCCACTGTGTGTTTTATACGACCATAAATTCCACCTCTTTGCAGCATCTGGAGGAGCTCATGAACAAGTATGAGAAGGTGCTCTCCAGGGTAAGTGCTGGTGCTGTAGGAGCAGAATGAGAGCTCCAAGCTCAGACCTTCCTGTATCAACATGAGGTTCAGTCCTGGGCAGGACAAGTAGCTGGAGGAAACATAGTTCTGGGCTTTGAGATGGATCCTTAGTATGAAGAGGAAATTAGATGCTGTGCTTGGGTTATATAGTGGTAATAACAGAGTGGGGACAGATTTATGTAGGGAATATTTCCTATAATAACATGCGAATTAATAGGTATAAGTCCACTGAAAGATAGGGAGAGGGAAATTCAGAGACACATATAGAATAAGTATGGTGATTTCACATATGCAGAATAGAACTACATTCCACAGGGTTTAAAAGCCATCACCTTTAGAAACAATTGATAAAGCCTCCCTTTTAAAACACTTCTGGGTAGATTTGAGTAACTATCTTTTACCTAGTAGTTGAGCACTTAACTGTTTGTGCCACTTAGAGGCTAACGAAGTCACTCTGGTGGCCTAGTGATATAGGAGTTGGGCTACCAGTCCAAAAGTAGTCAGTTCAAATCCACCTGTTCCTCCAAAGTTGAAAGATAGGCATGTTCCTCCCATGCAATTTACAGCCTCTGAAAACCCGCTGGAGGTCAGCTATGAGTTAGTTCTTACTCAACAGCACAGAACAACAATAACAACAGAGATTTATGAAATGGAATTGACATGATGAAAGCAGTTTTTATTATGTTTTTCTTCACCAAATAAGCAAAGGCTTGGACGTGGAATAATGGAACCAGGGAGAGATGAAGTTGAATGAAGTTGAAAAAGGGGCAATTTATGGAGGAACTGTGTGCAAGACTGGGATGCTTGGGGTGAATCCTTTAGGAAAGGAAGAATGAAGTGACCCTTTGTAGCAGTGGTTGCATTAGAGTCATATTTGGTTTTCATATAGGTCACCCTGAAGAGAGTTGACTAGATGGGGCCAGAGTGAAAACCGTTTATGGTTTATTTGTTTGTTCTTCAAAGCCACTTGTGAGGGTGCAGTTCTACTAAGAAAAGAAAGAGAGGATTTAAGTGATTCAGAGAATGAGTTTCCTCCTGTAGGTAAAAGGAAGATATGCATAGGAATTTTTAATGTAAGAAAATCAAACTAATATCAATGCCTTCTTCAAAGGCTCTTGATGGCCTTTGGAGTTGCTTTTTCATATAGATTAGAAAAGGTATCAGGAAAGTTTGGAGAACTGACAATTTATCCTACCTATGTCCAGGTCAGTGAATTTGCACAGCTCTTTGAAGGTCAAGATAACCAAGTCTCGAAAATGGTTTATAAAATGCAATCCAGTGCCTTTTCTTCTTACAAAGCCCCCACCTTCAGTCAGCTGCGCTTGGAGCTGGAGGAAGCACAGACATTGGTAGAGGAGCTTAAGATGATTGAAGAAATGAAAGATTCTCAAGGCCTCTTCAACCAACTCCAGGGACAGGTAGGAGAACAGATTAAAGAAACTTTTCCCCTCCACAATGTATTGTCTCCTGTAATCCCACTTGTCTAACAGTTTCCAAAATTGTATCTTTCTAGAGGAGAATGCACAAGCAGTGTTTGTTTTGCTGGATTTGTTCTCTTAAGAATGACAACAACGAACCACATCTCCTTTATGACATTTCCTTAGGTGGCAAATGCAAGTTTCACTCTCAGACTTCTAAGTGACTCTGACCAGCGCAGTTTCATGGCTCTGCGCCAAGAAGTGGATACCCTCGAGGGTGAACTAAAGGAGTGTGAGAAGATGAGAGAGAAA